AGAGCTGTCTCAAAACATGACATGCAAATGTATGACTGACTGACTAACTGACTGGCTGACTGGCTGGCTGGCTAGCCGGCTGGCTGGCTGGCTGGCTGACTGACCGACCGACCGACTGACTGTTCTGAACAACTGTAATATAAATTAAAGGGACATTAAGTTTTATAAATAAGTTAATTTAACGACTAACCAATTATTCAACAGAAGCTGTGGATTGCCATGCCAAACAGCACACACACGCACGCACACACGCACACGGACACAAACACAACGCATACGTACACATGCACACATGACTATTTCATTATGTGACGGGCAGAAGCATTACATATTTAACGTCCTATAATTTACTTTCTTTTACCAGAGATTAACAAAAAGAACTAAACAGGCCTATGCCTGCTTAGGACGATGGGAATAACAATGATGATGATGACGATGATGATGACGACGATGACGATGATGACGATGATGATGAAGATGATGATGATGACGATGATGACGATGATGATGTAAGTAACAATGACGATGACGTCGATGATGAAGACGACGACGACACAAAGATGATGATGAGGCGGACGATAATGAAGGTGATGATAATAAGGAGGATGATGATGATGTTGAAAGAGATTATTCCAATGATGAAGATGACGATGGCAATAATGACACTGGTTTTATTGGCAGTAAATGATGTTATACGGAGTGACGATGATGTGATATGATGATGATGGACATTAAAGTTACGCGCTCAACATGACCATAAGAATACTGATGTTAATTTGAGACGATTGTATTCGTAATATGATAATAATGAGGTCGGTATTGATAATGATGATAGAGATGATGATAGTAATGATGATAATAGTAATGATGATCTGGAGGTAGTTATTGATAATGATGATAATCGCAATGCCTACTTTTGAGGATAATCTTAATGAATGTACGAGTTTAACGGATTTAATCGGGTGAAGATCGAAATGATGACATTGAGGAGGATGATGATGGCGATGATGATGGTGGTGATGATGGTGGTGACGTCGTTGTTGAGGATGATGGTGATGATGATGATGACGTTGTGATGATGACGACGATGATGATGATGATGATGGTGACGTTGATGATGATGATGATGACGCACATATGATGACAAGAATGATGAGGATAAAACTATATTATATATGTCTTTAGCAAAAAAAGAAATTCAAGTCTTACTTCTGAAATTATGCAGTTAGCTAGCTTTCGATCCAGATTAATCATCACTTTGTTAAAATTAAAAATGCGACATTATTCGATTTAAAGTTATGAAGTTTTTGTCACATAAGTCTGAAAATTTAAATTTACTTGGTAATCTTTTTTTCGTATATATTTGTAGTGTAGTTTTTGTGAAATTTTTTCAATTTAAGAAAATACTTAGTTGAAATTTTCGTAAAAACTGTTTCTTCTAACAACCACAACTACAACCACAACATTCTAGTCACGATTTTATTCTTGTGATGGTGAAGAAGAAAATGATAATGGTAACAAAAACTATTCAAAGTGCAGTCTGTTCAAAATTAGTTAAAGAAGCAGTAAATGGAAAAGATTGGTAGCAGCTGTTGTAATTGCTTTGTGAATATCATTAGTTGTAGTGAGATAGATAAGAAGCAGTGGCAGTGGCGTTGATAGCGACAGACGAAAATTATAAGGTCTCTAATGACTGATTACGTTACGCCAACTATTTACCGCTACTCTGCTCTGGTGTGAATAATTTGTAATATAAAATATAAATAATGTTCGTTATATGACCGTTATTGGCTACGCTCGTCACATCAGGATTGTCTTCAAATAAAATATTTTCAATTTTGTTATTCGATAAACTTAGGCTTTACTCGTCCTCGCTATTATTCTCTCATTGAAATACAACTTGAAGTTCAAAAAATACGCTAATCATTTTCGAGTGAATATTTCTGGGTGCAATTTTATTTTAAGTTGATATTTCAACATTTTCCTTTGAATTCTTTTTTGTCACCTAGGCGCATTTTATCTCAAAAGTTTATTTGACAAATTTTGTATTTTTAAAATTTTTCGTTAATGTCAAATTGCATTTGTTCTTTTCCCGATAAACTCCTGAGACTTTTCTTGCTTTTTTGATAGAAACAATTTCATTTGCATGTCCTCGCCGGTCTACTTGCTAATGCACGATGCATCAATCCATACATTATGCCTGATTTATTCACGGGACGTCGCACGTGTTTCTGTCTTCTGTTTTTGTTTTTGTAGTTATTTTCTTGTCTGTAAGTGGTTTTGTAAACATAGCGACAATTTTCTTCTAGCTGTCCGTATTATTATTCCAACCGTTCCACTGAAGTCCATTTGTTTCCAGGCAGCTTTCTGTCTCCCTAGCATACAGATGTCTTTTTTTATTTTTGCATAAATCTCCGCTCCTGTAGTCTTCTCTGTTTTTAATTTGTTTCATTTTTTATTAAATTGCAAGAAAATACATTTTTGGTTCATGCTTATGGAAATTCTATTTTCAAATTTTATCCAATTAGTCCAACTAAAACGGAGGACAATATTAAAGTTTGAGCCAGTTAATATCTTGCACCTGGTTATTTCGCTCCAATTGTTTCTGTCAACTTTACGATCTAAATGTCTTTTTTATTCTTAGCTTATTCCGGAACGTCTATATTTTTCATAATTTTTTTACAAACCTTTTCATTTCTTGCATACTAATAGGAATTGTCAAATAATAATAAAACTACTTAATTATCGAAACGTTGATTTTCAAACCGAGAAGCCCGAAATTAAATTTTTAGTTACATTAAACTTTGGCATGTACGTACGTTGCTATGTTCATCGTGTAACAGGAAGTAGTAATGTTGTTGTCGTTTATATTGCTGTTGTTTGTGTTATTATTTATGTAGTTGTTAGTTCATGTTGTTGCTATTGTTATAGCTTTTGGTTTTTGTTGTTAGTTATGTTGTTGTTAGTTACTCTCATATCACTGTTGTATTTTTAGTAATATTATAGCTGTTTTTTACGTTATTATTGTTGTTGTTGTTTGGAGTTGTTGTTGCTGTTATTGTTGTTGCTTCTGCTGCTGTTATTGTTGTTGTTGTTTGGAGTTGACCAAGGATTAGAACATGCCAGCGAATCAATCTTCGCCAGTCAGTTTGGCTTACACTGTCGCTGTTTGCATCAAAATTCCATTGCACTTCATTCATTCATCTATCTTTTTCAATTCTTCTTATAAATACCTTCATTATAAAATTCATTTCTTTTATTTTTACTGTGTAATTTTGATTTAAATTCTAGAAATTAATATAAAATAAAATTTATAAATTAGTATTATAAATATGTATATATATATATATATATATATATGTGTGTGTATGTGTGTGTGTGTATGTGTGTGTTGTGTATATGTGTGTGTGTGTGTGTGCGTGTGTGTGTGTAACAACAAAATGAACGAACGACAACATGTAGAAGATGTAAAGTAAGGTTGGCTAGCACAAGACAGATGAATGAAGAAATTGCATTGTAAGATGTAATTGAATAGTTTGAAAGAAACGAAATGATTATGAAAAAAAAATTTTTTGCTTTCAAAAAGCTCGCCATAGAAAATGTTTTCAATTTTTTTATTTTATGCATTAGTAGCAATCTACTTCTTCATGATGTGTTTCATTTGGGAGAATTATTTTCGATGAGATGAAATTATTAGAGGTAGATATAATTAGAAATTATCAAATATTTTAAAATTATTTCCAATTTATCAATGTTTATTTCTAAATCAGACGATCGCTAAATTTAATTTTGAATATTGCCTTTTCGTTTAGGTTAAATGGTTATGTAAACTTTGACAAATTTAGCTTTGAATAATTTTTATAAATTTTCTACTTTTTAAAATTTCCAACTAATGTTTTATCTTTAGATATATTTTATAATGAATACATGTTTTCTTATTTCATATGAATGGTCCTCTTTATATTTTTACATTTCGTCTTGTTTTATCTCAACGATTTAAAGTGCACTCATCTTATGACGAGACAAACAAAACAAAAAGTTTGACATAATTTACAGCAATAAAACATTAGTTTATTATTTGCCTGAATATAATAATAAGTTCGCATGCTGTGTGTGAACATGGGTAAGAACATGTGTGAACTTATGTGTAAACTTGGGTGTGAATTGCCTGTGAACATGTGCGTGAACTTGTCTGTGAACATGTGTTCTCTTTGAAGATAACATTATTTTTTTACAACACGTTTCTCCTGTAAGAGAGAGAGAACTTCATTTTGTTTCAGTATGAATCTTATCGGCTTATCTATCAATCATTTGCTCGTTAGACCGATTGCATACAGGCGTACTATAGGACCACGTGCGTCCGTTTAAGTACACACATGTCTATCTTCATACAACATCATTATGTATCTTTGTCTATTTGTCTCAAGTGAATTTGCATTTGTTTCTCTGGTCATTTGCAAGCTAAGGAGATGTCTCAGGTTCTGTTTGCAATACGTCCTTCTTTATAACATGCAAACATGACATTCATGTTTTACGTTCATGCACATAATGTATAACCTATCAAGATGTTATTTTGTTGATATATTCTAATCTCAGAAACTAACCAAACCACCAACGCGCTATCTTTTACTAAATAATATTTAAAATAATTACATCTATGTAATTATTTTAAATTTTAAAGATCTTTAAAATTAAAATGTTTACACATAAAATATTGCAATCGCATATCTCACCCCAACCGCGCAAACGATGTTTTTTTTGAAACGTAAGCCCTCGGTAGGTGGGTAGCTTTGTCGGACTGTTCCACGTTTCGAAATTTTTTATTGTCCGTTTTTAATAACAATTTGAACTTATAAGTTAATATTGATTGTTTGGCAATGATGGATTTTGACATTAATGAAAGATACGAAAGTATGTTGTTAACATAATTGAGAAAAGTGTTAAGCAAAAGGATAAATAATATAATTTTTAAAATTTGTGTGAACATTTTCACTATTCAGGCAGTCTGAACACGTCCCCTCCTCCTATCATCTTGTATGGACTTCAAAACCAGACCCTTCCCATTCAAAGCACTGCTGTTTTGTTCTGCAATGCTACTGGTCAGCCAACACCATCGATCAGCTGGTTGAAGGACAACAAAACACTCTCCATGAACAAGGACAAGTGCCAGCTTTCTGACGATGGAACTCTCAAAATTATGGGTCCGTTTCAGTAACCTCTATTTGTTAATGTGCCACTTGGTAAGTTATCAGCAACACAGTTTGTAATTTCATTGGCAGAACTGCACAGCAATGATTCCGGTCGGTACACATGCATGGCAACGAACGAGATGGGAGAAGCGCAGTCAAGTTGTTACATAACGGTGGAGAGTCCCAACAATCACAGGATCATCTTCAAGCGTACTCCCGATCCTTTCACCTACCCGGGACCACCAGTTCGAGTACAAGCTACTGAAATCAAAGAAACGAGTGTGAAGTTGGTTTGGAGGACGAATAATTATGACGGTTACTCGGAAATTACAAATTTCGTCGTTGAGTACTTCAGCCCGGATCAGGGAGAGGTTGTCCATTTTATGTTTCATAGACTTTTTCATTTTTCAGAATCGAACAAACTGCTGATTTTATTTTTTTTTAATTTTAAATATTTTCAAAAATATTTACGTCATTAATTTTTCAAACATTATTGCGATCTTTCAAATTTTTAAAGTTTCTAATTACATTTAATTATTTGAATTACGTTAAAAAATTGAAATATGTATTTGTTCACTCATTAATTTAATCACACACACACACATACACACACACATACACACACCAAGACAGACATAAACAATAACACTTGCACACGCACATACGCCCAACACAGACACACCCACACACACCAATCCACACATACGCACTTACAGATATATATATATATTTAATATATATATATATATCAAATTTCTTCCCTGGAGTCCATGTTTATAGAATGTCATAGAGCACACAAGAGATTGAATTAGCATTAATCTAAATATATTTTCCGCGTTGCTTCCACAAATTTTTTTTCCAACTTTTTTCCATCGATATTTTTCTTTTTAATTTCAAAATTTTTCTCATCATATTTTTTTAAATTGGCACGTTTTTTGCGTCTAACTTTGTGCGTCTGCATCAATTTTTTTTCCCCGGCTGAAATGTGAGATATTTAATTATATATACCTGCCGCCGATGATGGAGAACTAATGGGATTGAAAAGCAACAGTTGCATGAAATGAAAAAAGTTGTGATATCAGTTTTGGTAACAACAGTTTCAGTAGTTTACTACCCGAAATTCAGATGTTTTCATTTTCAATAATGCATTACACTCAATTGAACATTTTCAACTTTTCATATATGGTCGGGAAGTTTCAGTTTATTACACTACTTTTGGTTAAAGATTTCTTCAATCAGACAGTAATGATGCAAAAACAGTTTGTTTACGACGTGAACCATCTAGCTAAACTGAACATCTGATTAGACTCTAAGTAGGCAACATTAACTTTTCTACTATGATCACCAGCCATAAACGAACCATGCCAAATATAAATTACCTCCTTCTATCAACTAATCATTTGACAAATGTTGCTGGCCAAATCAACTTTAGATTAAAAGTTCATTTGAAATAATAGTTCATTATTCACGTTGCGAAATAGCGTACCAAATTTGTTTTAATGACAGAAGCGTTGTTATCGAGACCAATTTTTAAGAATCGATTTATTTGATTACAATGTTTGAAAACATCGGTCCACTCTTTTTCCAGGTGTTATGCAAATTTGTATTCAGCGAGGTTTTGGCCCGGTGATTTTCTACGCCATAAAAAGTGGATTTATGTTAGGGAAATTGGCGGTGATAGTCTGCGTGTGGCATTTTTAAAAAACGTCTCAACACTTTTGCCGTTATTTTTTGCCGCATAAGAACCGCATCAATTATGAAAATGTACTTATTAAAGTGTCGGTTGAGTTCTTTAAGTTCGTGATAGCAACCCATTTGTGCAAAACTGGTTTGGAATGGTCATAACTGATGTGAACAATGTTTTAAAGACTTTTAATTTTGAGAGAATTGATCATTTCAATCGTTTTAAAAACCTAAATTTTGAAAATCTTTAACATGGCATTTGTCGCATCAACGGTAAAAGTTGTCAACAATTCATTTTAGATTGACATCTAATAGAGTTTGTCTGTTTATTCTGATGTTCTTCTGAAGATTTGAAGTGTCGGTTGAGTTAGCGGGCGTGATATAAATTTTCACGTCTAACATTTGTCCGGACAACTTGAAAATGTAAACAGGCTGCAGACCATTCGATCGGAAAGTGACATCGCCAGTTGTAGCGAGTGAAACAATTTGGTTATTACTGCTGCCGTTTCTACTCTATCTTTCACGTTTGTCAGCAAAATTTTCATCAAGAAGACCACATAGGCTTATGGTTGTCGCTTTGCTATTCCTACCTACGCTTTTCAATTTTTTACTAGAGTTTTTTGGAAATTGTTCAATTTATTAGAAATAAAATTTTTATCCAAGCTAATCATGAAAATTTAATAAAACTGTTATCTTAATTTATCAAGCAGAAGCAGATTGGCCAAAATCGAAATATGGCCTATTTGCTTTGCAACAGTTTTATGAAATTAACATGATGAACTTGGATATTAATTCTATTTTCAATAAATTGAATAATTTCTAGAAAATTCTAGAAAGAAAAATTGAAAAGACAAACTTTAAATTGATTGATGCCAACAATTCGGTAGAATTCATACAATAATATATATATGTGTATATATATATATATATATATATATATATATATATATAATACGTTTGTGTGTACACTTTTATATACAGGAGTGTTTATATTTGGTCATTTGCACATTCATTCATGCATAAGCGTGTGCACATTCAGTTGACATATTAGCGTACACATCAGTTCTGCGCGTATACATTACATACGTACCTACCAACACAAAGCAATGTACGTAATTGTAATTGTATTGCTGGATGCAGAAGCAGGATTCTTTCCGTTAGCTTGTGTATCTGTCTTTCCGCTCGTCTTTATCCTTGTGTGTTTGTTTGTTTGTTTATAAGTGTGTGCGTCTACTTTTATGTATTTTTATGTGTATGTGTGTGCAGATGCTAGCACGTACGTGCATGCACGCTTTGAAATTTGTGTAGGTGTAAGTGAGGGTGATGAGGCATCCAACAATCATGGTAATGTATGTAAATAACAATTGAGAAGTAGGCGTGTTTCCATCTGTCCCGCTTGTTAAGATGCTTTCGTTATGATGCTTCTTGTTGGTCATGATGATGATTATGATGGTGGCGTGAATTGCATGGTAATGATGCTGAAGATGAAAACAGGATGATAATGTCCGTTGGTGGAGATGATTATTAAAATGATAATGATAAAAATAATGATTATGATGGCGATGTTAGCAAAAAAACAACACAGATGATAGTTGTGATTAATAACAGAATTGACGATATAAGTGATGTAACAAAAACAATGACAACAAAGTTTACAGTTATGGTAGTTATGTTGCTCTGCTGGTTGTGGCTGATTTTACCCAATTCGTTTGAAGCAAAAGTGAAGTAATTTACTCAATTACTTCACTTTTGCTTTAATGTTGGTATTAATTAATTGTTCAGTAATGAAGAGAGATTGTTTAATATTCGTTAGTGAATGAGATGGATGAAGATCGATGCCAGATGTCTGCTCTGCTTCTTGCGTTGCGTAGGTACTGTGATGAAGCCAGCAAACTTATAACCCTATTTCAATTTTTAATTTTTCAAGCAAAAAAACGGCAAACATTTTTTTGGATACTCCTTACTCATATTTTAGTAATAATATTTATATTGAACTACAAAGAATGTTGAAATGACTCATTAAAATGATCAGGGTTGGGTCATTGCAAGTGACGGCGTCACTGAGTTGTCGTACGTTGTTCGGAATCTTCAGCCTGCCACTTCCTACCTCTTCTTGGTCAGAGCACAAAATTCTCACGGCATCGGCATGCCAAGTCACGTCACTTCTTTGATCAAGACCAAAAGTATTTTAATTTTAATTACATTCAGTGATCCATTGAGTTTATTTTGTACCTACTAATTTTTATTTAGATGTGTTTTGAGATTTTAAAAGATTAATAATGAATCAAAAAGTTACAATTTATTGTTAGATAAAAAACGTTGAGCAACGAAGAAAAACTGGAAGTTATTTTGTTTAACTAGTCGAACGGTTTTGAATGAAACCTGTTTATTTTGACGTTTTTACAGTAGTATCTCAGTAGTAATAAATTTTTTAGTGACGAGTTTAAAAGTGCCATTATCTTCAAGAAACATTTGTACTTCAATGTGATAAAATTGCAGAAATAATGTTCCTGCGTGAATAATAACACGGCCTTGTGTAAAATCGTGCTGGGGTGAGCAAACTAAACCAGAATGAGATGAAAGAATGGAGGCAGTTAAAATAAAATAAAACGCAGACATAATGAAATAAATTTGGAGAAATGCGAACAAATCCAGAAATTAATGAAAAATTACAACCAGCTGTTACATGAAAAGAGCAGTCAAAAATTTATAAACAACTGCTCTCAAAGCTGCAGAGGAAGTTTTTAAAACCTGAGTTGGATAACCTGCAAAAAATAGATAGATGACTTTACAGAATAAGCTGGGGTAAGAATACTGAATTCAATAAAATTGAACAAGGATGAAACAGGATTAAGGAAACCATGGAATTGAAGATAATCATTAATTAAATGATTGAATAAAATGGCCTTATACATGTTTAGAATACTTATAACAAAAGTTTAATTGTTGAGCTTGTAGAAATGTTCATGGTAGTGGTATTCACTTTTACTGTTCATAAAATGTGATTTTTTCATTTATACGAAAAAATAATTTACTAATTTTTGGTGAATTGAAATGAAAATAATTTTAAATTTTTTGCTCTTATTTACCCATTGAACATTTTCAATAATTTAAACACATCATATTACGTTTATTTAATATTCCCATAACTTGTCACCATTTATCCAGCTTTAAACACCCACAACCAAAGTTTCCACAGTGAGCACCATCACTTCTCATCACTTTCCTTGCAAACGTTGGCCTCCCGCAACCACCACCTCCAACCACACCAGACTACCGCCGTCCATTTACACCAGCCACACGGACATGAAATTGGCGCCAAATCCATCAGACTCCGATGGGATGTACGCACGTTAGCGTCTCAGCAAACAACTCAGTGGCTGCGCCAGCCGATTGAAGGCTTCCATATAAGATACTGCGCAGAGTCACTCACGCACTACGATCCAAAGTTTGGATACGAAAGCGATCATTGTTTATTTGCCACACAGACGGTCGGTGACAGTCAAACGAGGTCCTTTCATCTCCATGGTCTCGAGGAAAGCACATACTATCTCATCTACGTGCAGCCCTACTCAAATGGCACTAACAAGATACCGAGCAATAAAATTCACGTCAAAACTAAAGAGGATGGTACTGTGCATGTCTTCATTCTCAACTGTTGAACACGTTTTTAAAAAATACGTCAAAAAATAATTTTCATTCTAAATATAAAATTGCAACATTTTTTTAATTATCTTTTCTGACGTTGAGCAATTGATTGTTGCAACTTGTTGAAAGTAAAAAAGTTGAATATTTATATTGCACACAACAAACAGTTCCGTCAGCCCCACCGAGCCACCTTCAGGCAAAGGTGCTGCAGAACCACACCCTTCATCTTACCTGGAAGCCCCCTCCAAAAATACACCAGAATGGTCCTCTTGTTGGTTACAAGGTTGGTTCAAACATTCAACCATCTTTATTGTGGCAAACATCATAAATTTTTAAGCGTGCATTCATACGTATAACATTTTAATTTCATCGCTCAGTTCAAATGTTAAATTGCTTGCAGGTATACGTGTCCGCCAACGATTCTCAATCGAAGCGAGAGGTTTGGATGAATGCGACATCAGAGACAGCATTCATTGACAACATGAACACTGCAAATACTTACCAAATTCAAGTGGCTGCCTACAGCAGTGCAGGGGAGGGATCAATTAGTAAACCTCTCGTCTTTGGTCTGTTTTTACTATTCTCTACCACTTAACATTTTTATCTTTCATATTTTTTAAGGAAACATTATTATAGAAAAAAAATTATTTGAATTGAGACATTTAGATTTTTCAAAAAAGACTCCGTTGTTATATTAAGATATCGATATATCAAAACGTCAGAGAATGAACTAAAAATGTATAATTATTTCTGCGTGATTACCAGTTTAAATGCATATTTTAAGCAAACTTGTACTATGAATCTCAAAAAGTTCAATTAAAAACAATTTATAAGCATCTTTGAGTTTGTTAGAGATGCATCATTAAACAATCTTGGTCACTATGTGTTTTTATTTCTGTTTGTTTGTTTGTTTGTTTGTTTGTTTGTTTGTTTGTTTGTTTGTTTGTTTGTTATAACTTTTTATATGATAACTTTACAAATAACTTTAATTGCAAATTAAACAAAGAAAATAAAAGCAATTAAGATTAGTGTAAAGTAGTCACCATATTTCTATCGGATCATCATAAACAAGTGTTAAATTGCTGCAAATTTTAATTTTTTTTATTATTATCTTTTTTGGACCGAAAAAATTTCACCACGTTGTTAACACCACATGCACTAGATTTCAGTGAAAGTCTGAACAGCGCTCATGCTTCAAGCCACACGACAACCAACAGCAGCACCAACAACAACTCCTGGTGGATCGTCATGATCAGTGTCCTGGCCGGACTGCTCACTCTTTTCACTTTCATTTCAATTTTTGTTCTTCTAAAGAAACAAAAAAGCAGAGAGAAAGAGAAACAAACTCAACAGTTTTTTGCTAGTAGAGAAATTGGTGAATCTAATTTTTTCATTCAATTACAATTAAAGTTTTCTTAAATTACGAATCAATTTAAACAAGACTTGCATCATCGAATTTTGAATGCACAGGATCGTCAACAGTAGTACAAGCGACAACGGCCACATCGAACGACAACGATAAAAATTCAAATAACTGCATAACACCGGTGCAAATGGAAAACATGTACGAAAACGTTTCCACGATGTACAGTACAAAAAAAAGCACAGTGCTAGACGAAACGAACCAACCATCTCCCGGACGTCTAAGAATGAGCTTTCCAGTTCCATCTACCTCACCCCCGCAACAGCCGCAGCAGTGGCAGAACTTCCTATCGCCACCCCAACAACAAAAAAATCAACAACAATCATTACCGCCAATACCAATGTTTGCAACTAACACAGAAAAGTTGATATGCCAAACGTACATGATCAAACCAAAACAACTACAAGATCAACAGCAGCAGCAGCATCAGCCACTCAGCAAAGTGAGCGATGCCGATCCTGACGATGAGGAGGAGGAGGAGGAAGGAAACAGCGCCGATCACAGTGGTTCAAGTGGCTACAAAAGTGCATTCGAATGTTCGTATTCCAGCTTTTAATTCCTTTGCTATCAATTATTTTTTAGATTGAACATTTTTAATAGAGTTAAATCCGGTATGTACTACAATCAGTACTCTGACAAATGCAACTTAATGTGATTGTGAACAGTAATAGCCAACAAGAACAGCCCATTGTTGTCGACGTACGAAGGTTCAAGTCTACTCCAGCAACAAATCCACCAACAACATTTGATTACACAACATATCCAACAAAAACAGCAACAGAAACGAATGGGCCCGAGAAAAATGTCTCTGAACACAACAAATTCCTTCAGAGAGTATGGGGCGAACGGCGTTAAGAGCAATTACTTCCAACCGATAGTTTATCATCACCTTCAGCAACAACATCAGCAACAAATGCAACAACACTATTCACAAAAGCAACAACAGCAGCAACAAAATATTTTACAACAGCCTCAACAACATCAACAACAGCAACAACAACAGCGTCTTTTTTTCACAATGTCAAACCGAGCTTCGCGTAGATTGCTGACCAGCAGTGACGTGGAAGATGATGGCGCGTTTCCGAGAGATGACCTCACAGACAAACGCTTCAAACCCGGAGGCCACAACGTGTACAATGATGCAACTTGTCCAACCTAACCTCATTCCTATGGGGAAATGATTGATAACTGAATTAATTTGTAACTAAATTACCGGCACAATACCATTTCAAAAATATTTCTATCTTTTATTTCATCATTTACAATACTAATATTGCTAATAACATGTAAACGCTGTTGAACATTTTGCGCTCTTTTGGAAACGTAATCATTTCAGCGACAACAACGTTTCTTTCAAGGAATATTAAATAAACCGTCGTCCGTTCAACTAGATATTCCAAAACGTGTCATGAGCCGAAGAAAATAAGTCGGTGTGTGTGTGTGTGTTTATGTGTGTTTGTTTGAGTGTATGTGTGTGTTGTGTGTGTTTGTTTGAGTGTATGTGTGTGTTTAGTGTGTGTAAGTTTGTGTGTTTGTTGGAGTGTATGTGTGTGTTGTGTGTGTGTTTTTTGGAGTGTATGTGTGTGTAAGTGAGTGTGTGTGAGTGTTTTTGTTTGAGTGTATGTTTGTGTTGTGTGTGAGAGTGTGCGCGCGCTTCAGTATCATGCCAACAGAACCATCCACTTCAACAATTCAACAGTTTTTACGTTTATTTCAATGATTTATTTTATCAAATAAATTTCATTTTGTTTTTAAATGACCAGGATGATTTTGAACCCATCAGTGTTTCTAATTATTACGTTCTTGTACATGCTCTCCAAATGTTACTCGAATAAAAGTTTGTATATTTTGTTAGCACTATTTATGTACTACACATACTATTTATGTATGTGTATTTTTATTATTATTCATCGATGAGTCGTAAATTTATAAAATTATTTTATATATTATTATTTTCTTCAATTCAGTTCTTAAAACAAAATCTACTCAATTTATTATCGCGTACGCTTATGTACACACATGTGCGTATTAGTGAGTATGCGTAGGCATGTGTGTGTGTGTGTTTGTGTGTGTGTGTGTGTGTGTGTGTGTGTGTGTGATGTGCGCGTGTGGAAATTGATTAATAATCTTACAAATAGCTAACATACATAACTGCATAATTTCTTGATTGTATTTTAGTCTGAGCTATGTTATATATCCCTAAAATTGATGTTTTTTTTTAGAATTATTGTCGATATATATTAAATGATTAAATATATTGGTGGTAATAATAGTAAAGATGGTGATGAATCTGAGGGCACTGATGAAGATGATGATGGAGATGAGGATACTAATAAAGGAAGATGATGACAATGAAGGTGAGGAAAATGACAATGATTATGGTGAAGATGTTTACTCAAAACTATACATTACGTGTGTGGTATATATATATGTTATATGTGAGATAACAAAATGGAGTTCTCATGTGAATTGAATCAGAACTGGATTTATTGGATTGTTTGGTATTTAAATTGAAATAATGCTGACGAGTTTTTGGTGAATAAACTGAAAATGTTAAGGACCAGAGAACAAGCAGTCTTGTTAGGAAGTTGTTTTACCACACAGTAGAGTTATAGCAAATCCACACTGCTGATTTATGAAGTATTCAACATTTTTTTATGAGGTCTAGTTGCAGACTAATTGAGCAAGCAGTTTCATATGAGGTATTTTACTAAACAAAATTATTACCGATTGCTATTACATTAAACAATTATATAAATAAGATAAATAAATATTATTTTCAATTTTATAATTATTAAGAAACATTTGATGGTTATCAAGCAATCAGGCGAATGTTGTTTGTTTCATAAGGATGCTTGCGACATGACTGGATAAATTAATGAAAGGAACTGAATGAATAAATTACGGAGAATTTGATCAGTTTAAACAACAGAATAATGAACGAATGTATTCAAGAGTATCATTATTTCAAATGTTTTTATTGATTTTTATTTTTATTTAATTTATTTTTTTAGATCGGCTTAGTTTGAAGCAATATGTTGAAATTTTATTTTTTGGAATTATACATTCACACAAACATGCAGATGAATGCGCGCAGTTTTTTAGAATAAATAAAATTAAATTAAGATGTCATCATTTTTTAAGAGTTGGCTCGTGCGTCAGCATACAAAATTCGGACTTTATGTTTATCCGTCCTGTTCATGTCCAATCATTTATTCAGAATTCGTTTCTTTCCAATGAAATGAATCATTTTTGTAACAAAGAATGTTTTCGTGACTATCAATGTACCGCAATCATGAAATTAATTTTTATCGTCCTACCTAGTTTTAAAACGATGTTACTAAGTTCAGAAGTTCGTGATAATATTTCATTATAAATATACAATTTATCTTTTTATAAACTGTTACATGAGCTTATTGCACCAGACTTTGATAGCTAAAATGCAGTTTCAAATAAATGTTAAAATGATTTTGCTCGGATCAAATATCTAAAATTCTATTGACTGTTATAGACCAATTACTTTCCAATAAATTATTTTGTTTATAAATTATTTTTTTTACTTATTTATATATAAAATATTTTTGTCTTGAATATTATTATCAACATGTTTTGTCAATTTTGTTAAATTATTTTGGTCTCAAATGGACTTTATATGAGTATTATAATTAACAACTGTTATATTTGTGCTGATTTTTAATAAACCGTTCAAATTATCAAAACTGTTTAACTTTCGTGAGTGAAATCAAGCAAGTCACAGGGCGTGAATAATAATTTTAATGCCGAACAAACGAACGGACGAACGAAAATCTCTGGAATTTAATTTATAACCGACGTTACGCAGTCGGTTTTTATTTTTGTTACATCGTCTTCAACTGCTGGCTCGGTTTTGTTGTGTTTATTTGCGTCGGCACTAATGTATATTCGGTTGCTTCTGTTTGCTACTTGCGTCATGTTTCTTGATTTATTGGTGGTTCGCGCTATTTCGGCTGCCTGTGGGCAGGTTTTGTTGAGAGGGGTCGTCGGTGGCGATGGTGAGTGTTTGGGCTTCGGGGCAACAACTGGCAAATCGATGTTCGGTCCTTCCTTCATAGACTTGGCCTTCGACTGACGGATGTGTATTTATTTCATTCAAAACACATCACGTTAAATATCCACCCACGTAAACATTATATTTATTTTTATTAAATCTAACACTAAATTTATCATTTTGAAGTAGGAAAGGAAGCGTTTACTAACGAGGACTTTCGAGAGTTCGAAGAATGCTGGACTCAGGCTCTTCGACTCAACCGGCTTCGTGGAATAGTTTCAATAAAATTATGAGAATAATTAAAACATTCATATAACAAATTAAAGTAATTGCACTAACAATTTAAAAGCTGAAATAACAGTATTCGATTGAACTTCAATCTACACGTGATAATTTAACTCTAGCTAGCCACCTTAGGCATGTTAACAAAGTGACAATTTATATCAACAAAAGTAACCTTCTTCTGGAATCTCACAGTTGCCGATGTTTTCTTTTCGCCACTTTGAATTCGTTTCATCATTTCCTTCATCTCGTTTATTAAGTCATCCGTCTTGGATGGCTCTAGTTTTAAAAAATGCGATGTTTGCTTATCGAAATAGCTTTGGGGTAGCATTTTAAAAATAATTTCTGAGCCACCACACGTATAAAATTTTCCAACGTAATTCGGAATTTTTTCAAATTGTAAAGAACAGACCTCTGGAAGGTGTGGACAGTTGAGCTGGCGGCTGTTTGGCTGCCGATGGTGATCTAAATAATTAAAACAAATCATGAACTGCGTTGTTTCAAAAATTTATAAATTGAACGAAAAATTGAAGTTTGGAAAGATTTTTTCTTTAAAAAGTTAATTGGCAAGAAGTACAAACATCTTCAATTAACTTCAAAAACTAAAAAAATGTTATATCAGCATATATATGATGATACAAGGATGAGTATTTACAAAAACGCATAAATTTACAACCATCAGATAAATTAACCACGTCTATGTGTCAATGTGTTTGTTTGATTTATGCGTGTCTCTCTGTGTTGTGTGTGTCTGTCTGCGTGTGTGTGTGTGTGTTGTGTGCGATTGCGCTGACCTCTTTTCGTTTCACACGCTCAGATCCGCTTTACCATTCTACAAAACAACACCAGTACTTTGCATATATTATATATATATATATCTCAATATTTCTAACCAAATTCATGTCGTCATCCTTTATTTTATTGAAGTTAAGATAATATACAGTTTTCCATTTCATTATAGAGTGTGTAGGACCTATTTCGATTATTCAACCATTTTCAACACTTGTTTCTAAATTTAGTAGCAGGAAGGATTCCAATTGCACGTTGTTGAATATTTATTATTGGATGTCTTTGTTCTGAGTATTGATTCGGCTAGTCAAATAATTTGGTTTAGAACACAAGAAACTTGTGAATGATTTACGATCAACCGTTAGAATAATCAAAAAGTTAAACAGGAAGTTTACTAACGCCGAACATGACATATATAAGTGTGTGTTTATGTGTTAGTTGTGTGATGTGTGTGAGCTTATATTTCTAATTGTTTTGTGTTTTTCATCACAATATATAATAAATATGAAGAAAAACTCCAACACAATAAAATTAACAACACGGATTCTCGCTAAATTGAATGAATAATAATAAGCTTTTAAGAAGTGTATATTTATAGATCCGTTATGCTAAACAATTATAAGTTGTGTTGCACGATAATCAAGTTGCTATATTAGTCTACAACGCTCGTGTGTATGTACTTGCCGATATGTATATATAATTGTGTGGTGTGTGTGATGTGTGTGTGTGTGTGTGTGCGTGCGTGTGCGCGCATAAAATTATCAGAACGTGGTTATGCGTATCTGAGCGCGAGCATATATTTAACTGTTTACTTGGATTTTGAATAACAGTCTAGTCGTCTATATTTGGATGTGAAAGATTTTGTATCATTGAATATTTATAAACTTTTCAAGTGTGTGTTTTTGAATTTGGTGTAGCTTGTGAATAAAAAAATAAGGATTAATAGTATGTGACATGAGCATGTATTGACAAACGCATATGCCATAGAATGATCGACGTATTTACAACATTAGCTTATTAAATTGTGAACAGTACAAGTTTCACGCTGACTGCTATTTATACACTGCTGTGATATCAGGGTTATTTTTATAACTAAAAATGTTCAAGCGCAAACAAATGAGCAGTCAGGGGGTGGGTGCGCGGTGTGTCTCTGTCTGTATGTGAGTGATGAGCGCATGTACGCCAATATTTGTATTTTTAAAATGTGAAAAGTATCAAAGTGCGACACCGACTTTGTTCTGAGGTTGATGGCTGGCGTGAGAGGAAGGGGAGGAGGAGGTGGAGGAGGTGGCGGTGGAGGAGGTGCAAAGGATGGTTGACAGTCAGACTCCAGTTCGTTCGTCTCTACTTGAGAATGAGCAATTTCGTGTTATAACATTTTGAAATTATGTATGTTCAACTATCAAACTTTTTGTTGAAGTTTCTTTTGTCAACTCTTGAAGAGAATTGTATAGTCTTTCTATTTCCTCATTTGAAATTTTCAACTTGGCTTCCAAAGATTCGATTTTTTTAACATCTTTCGAGTTGTCTATTATTTCTTTCAGTTTGGCAATCTTTATGTAAAATCATTGATTTTTAGTAAATGTAAACTTATTTAAATTTATAATTATAATTATATATTATATTAATCAAAGCTTCAAAGCTTTGAGCATCTCAGTTTTGTACTGGTTTGTATCTGAAAACAGGTCTTTATTGTATTCCATTCACATATTCTTAGAGAAGTATGTTTTTAACGTGTTTGTTCGTTCTCATTCAACTTGTTCTACAAAAATTAAACTTTTGTTCTGCTTCCTATGATAACAAGCGCATTTCGACTTGTATGCATTTATTATTTATCAATGTTTATTATTATCATGTTTGAGCTGATTATAAGTTCAAACAAATTTTTGATTTAATTTTTTTTCAAATTGGGACACAATTCTCTGTATTTCATTCCGCCTTTGTTTCTATATTATGTGACTTTCTTCAATATATTTCCAAGCTCCATTAGTCAACTACGGTTTTATATTTACCTACTATTTTAGGTTTAACAATTTTGGCTTGTTGCTTTTGAATACCGTTTGTAAGTTGCCGACTTATTTCCATTTTTAAACTATAAATTTTCTACTAAGTTCAAATTAATTTCTGATTTCATTTTTTATCTTTTCAAATTTTTTTTTATCTTCTCTGTTGCTGTGAATTACAGACTTTATTTGTTTCATCTACCATGCCTAAAGCACATTTCATTGCAATAATAATCGAATTCATCGCATTAAATCGACGTAAGTAAATCCATCAACGGTGCTAACTCTTGCAATGTAAAATATGTATTAGACGAAAATTAGCGAAAGTAAAAATTTTGAAAGTTAAATCGAAAAAAGTCACTCACGTCTCTCTCGTACTTAAGCTTCTCTTCTTCTTTCAGTCGATTGATGTTCTCAATTTCCATGAGAGCATTTCTGTAACCTTGATCATTGGACACCGAGTTTAGCACAATGGAACTCTGTCTGACCATTGCATTGCGTTCCGCAAAGCACTGTAAAAAATTGTATTGAATGCAAACACGAAGCTAAACAACCAGTCAAAAACGTAACCTTTCTTGCAAAGTTTTCCGCCTCTTCTTTCAAGAAGCTTTCATTTTCTTTCAATTGAATTAATTTGTTGTATTCTTGAATCGCTAAACCAGACGCTTAAATAACACAATGCAATCTTTTTATTATTTAAAAATGTCCTTCAAACTAAGTAAGTTTAATTTTTTGCATAACTCACTTATTTGAAAGTTATTCAGCAATTTGTTTTTTTCTTCTAGCTGTTTCCATGTTTTGAACAAATCACTGTTCAATTTGATAATCTTTAATTTGAAAGTTTTAATTGGAAAAAAGTATATTAATAAATAAATAAATGGATGAATAATATTAACACTTTGCTTTTGTTTTTCAATTTCTTTTTGCATTTCTTCTATTTGTTTCGAAAGCTGTTTGTTTGTTTTTTCAAGCTCTAGAGTATTACAAAAATGTGTGTAACGTTAACGACAGTAATGTATTGATGTCGACGGCAAAGATGTAACAAAATAAAATTGTAAATTAATTAAAGAACCTTACCATCAATCTTAATTTTGTCTTCCGACAATGTCTCTTCAATTAAAGGGCTATCTAAATCAATACTCATTAAATTAAACCTTTGTAACATCATTTGACTTTGTCTTTGGAGGTTTTTATATTTTTTATCAGTCTAAAACAATTTTATAAATCCAAAAATTAATTCAAATATCATTTGACTATTGAACGTTTTAACTTACTTCCTTGAATTTCATTTCAGCCTCTTTCCTACTTTCTTGTTCAGTTTCGTACTTGGTGCTCATGTCTGAAAATTCTTTACATGCTGGTTCCAAAACTGTTGCCAGTCAGACATGTAAATGTTCGGACATCAAACATCAAAGCAAAAACATAAAATATGTAATAAAATAAAAAAATGTGAATATGATGAAGCAAACATACCAGAAGTTAATTTTTTTAACTTTTCTTCTTGGGTTTCATACTTTCTCTTTAATTCCTTATACTTTTATTGATTAAACGTTAATTAAACGTCAATGTTAAATTTTGAATATGATCAACAGCGTTGTTGATGCATAATTATCGTGAATTGTTGAGGGTTGATAATGTTGTTGATTGGCACACGCATATTACTGAATGTATGAGCGTTATTATCCAGGCAATTTAAAAATGCATTTATATGAAGTTTCAAAAACTCGTGTGCACTATACCAAACCTGAGCCTGAAGGGCTAACAAGTGTCCTCACCAAAAATAAAAACATGGACGAGATAACACAAAAAACACTAAAATTTATTTTAAATGGACAAAAAGATTCAACTAATTGAAATATATCGGTAGGAACCCTTAATTCTTTATATTCTTTGGGATAAGTGTTGGAAAAAATTTATGATTTGGTAAAAAATAAACTATTTGAATATTTTGTAGAAACTCATTTTACACGAAGAAATTGAGCAAGATATTGATGGCTACTGGCAGTTAATAGAACGAAAAAACAAACAAAACATTAAAATATTCAGTCGTAAACACGATTTGACACACAAGGCAAAAAAATGTATATCATGCTTATGACCTAAACAAGTGCGAAAGTTTTTGCTTTATTATATATAACACGCAAAATAAAGGTCAAGGTGTTATCATACAAATATAGTTACTTCAAATTTTAAAAAATAAGAACCTGATTTTCCTTTTCCTCATACTTTTTCTCAAGTTTCTGACAATCGAGAGCCGCTATCGAAACACATGGTATGATATTCATTTTTAAATTGTAAACATATATCTTTAATATACATTTCATTTAGGTTGTAAACTCCAAAGCCCAAAATTCAGCCACTTTAATAATGAAATATGAAGTAAAACCTCTCTTAGCAAGTTCAGTTAAATTTTGCATCTTCGCTTTAATTTCATCATGACTTTCTTCAGTTTTCGCTTCAGATATCATTTTTCAAACCAACACAACAATTTAATTACGTATTTATTTTGTTCAGACAAATGAGTAAGGAAGCTAATTTTATGATTAAGCTTAAATTTCTAGTTTATAGCAAGGCATTGTTGCGAAATTCATAGCTGCTGTGAAGATCATTAGCTCTAAAATCTTCACAGATATGCAAGCGTACGCAAACTCGTCAACTAATTTTGAGAAATTAATATAAGAATTGGGGAGTTCCCAACGAAAAAACAGAGCATGAGAAACAATAAATTTATTTCTACCGAGTCACCACAATGCAAATAAAAATACTGAATCATGACTTTGAAAACTTTATATGAAATACAAATTAATACGACGCGAGCATATATTACACATAGGTATATTAATGTGTATAGTAATACAGTTATAAATGTAACAAGACTTTTGAATTATTGAAAACTGCAGATGAACAATTTAAAACCATGATAAAAAATTTGGTGATAACATAAAAACGAAGGTAAAAATTAATCTATGGAATGTACAAATTGGATTGGTCATTACATAAATATTGTAATGTAAAATTAAAATTAGATGTCTTATTAACGTAAATATGCTTACTTTTTCAGTCTCAAAATATTTTATATAAATAGTTTATAGCCCACTTTCACCAAAACATACTAATTAAAACTAAATAAAATTATTTAAAACGAAAAGTGAAATAAAGAAATGAATAAATAATTATATATATATATATATATATATATATATATAAATAACGGATAAAAGAATAAATAAATTACTGAATGAATCAATGATCTTTTGCAGCGTGCTGTTTTTCTTCACCACTCGCCATCTTTTTAGTGGATTTTTTAGTCTTATCAACTGACTTTTGTTTCCTAACTTTTTTATTGGTCTCATTATTGGTAGGAGCTTGTGCAGTAACAGGAGTTGCGTTGTTAAGTTCAACTGAAGGAGTAGATACAACTGTTGTAGCATCTGTAACCGTTCCGTTATCACTATCACCCAAATCTCCAGCGTCACTAGTTTTTTCTTTAAGTTCATTTATATGTTCAAGGGCCTTTAAAAAAGTTTATATGTGAAGTGACGCCACAAAAATAAAAACAAGAACAAAAAATTTGCAACAACCTTTGATGCACCTACTGTAAAACCATTGACAAGGCAATCAATGCCTTTGCTACCAAACTGAAGTAATGAATTGTAGCCTTTATCACTGGCTTGTGTTATGTATGAATCAATTTCCTTTTAGATAAAAAATTTTATGTAACAATAAGTAACAAACAATACGTAGTAAATTCATTTACTGCTAAATTAATATATGCAATGACAAAACTGTAAATGGCCAAACATATAGGAGCCAATAGACTCATATTAGTTTTAGAATCAACAAAACAATCAATTTGGAGGTGATAATATAATTTTATCAAAATAAAATGTGTAGTATTTCGCATAAATGAAGAAAAATGAGCCACACGTTTTACCATTTAAAAAAATTAATTTTCATTTTATAATTGAGTTACTAAATAAAAAAAATCAATTTAAAAGGTAAAAAATTTGTGAATAACTTACATTTTCATGTTTGGAAAGTTGGGGATGTACAACCTTTGTGTACAAAATGCTAGCTCCTTTTGTCCATGGAGATAGCAACCAGATTACGAAAAGGATTTTAATTTCATAATAAAAAGGAAACCTGAAATTTCAAAAATTTAAATGATTTATAAAAAAGAAATGAACTTATTTTAAACAATTAAAGGTCAAGGACATAGATTTTATCTATTAATTTTGCTATTTTCTCACAATGACTATAAAAAAATTTATTTATCTATTTATATTTTAATGTCTTTAGATTTGTGCTTTTGTCTATAATTACTTAAATTAAAGTTTAGTGAAATACTTTTACCTAAAATAGAAATAAGCCAAAAGAAAAAATTTAAAAACCATGATAGGAATATATCTGTGAGCATTTCCACTGCTGTAAAAAGACTGAACACAATCCAATACATCATCCATTTTACCTGAAAACATTTAATCATCATTTTATTTGCAAATTAAAATTTAATCATAATTTCATTTCTGAGTCTTGACCATATTTTTGAACATATCATTGAATAAAAATTATAGTTGTTTTTTTTACTAACATATTCTTTCACGTTTTTAGTTTTAATTGCCTTGTAAGAGTTGTAAGCAGGATAAAGCAATCCAAATGATAATCTAAAATATTAAAATATTAAAAAATAAGTTAATTTCAAAAAATTAATATAAAAAAACCATGCATGTATGCATCTTACATTACACTTCTGGAGAAAATTGCGGAAAGCATTTGAATGAAGAAAGGCAAGCAATTTCAAACGGTCAATTCACACTTTAATTAATTTAATTAACAGCAACGTGGACAGCTACGCTACGACACAACGAACTAATCTACAACAAACGTGAAGAACGCAGCAGAAATTATATTAAAAAATCTCAAAACAAAGTTTCACCAAATTATAAAATATCCAAATGCGCAGCTTATTATTGATTCATCTAATAAATGAATATACTTTTTCACGAACGCTCCATTCTGTAGTCTAGTTTTCGTACTTAGATTATTAACATCTGTTGTTTGGTTAATAAGGCGTAAACGTATGCGTATGCACGTATGAAATATGTATGAGCTGGTATATTGTATAGAAATGTATTGTATCCTATTGTACTGTGTCGTACTGTATTGCGTCGATCATTGATATACATAAGTTGCATACGTCCGTTAACACGTGCGTATGATATGAAGTAAGAAATGTCAAATTTGTAATTTCACGTAAACGCATTTTTATGTATCATATGCAGATTGCAGGTGTGGCTGATAATTACATACTAATTTGTAGGCAGCTTTATCTTTATATTAGGATTATGAATATGGTATGCGTATACGCGTGATTCAGTGGGCATAAGTGTTACAGAGCGTTGGTGTAAAAAAGAATATCATACTATAATTTTGCAATAATGATATGTATCTCTGTTATATCACGCTGACTGTCAAGTTTGGCAGCTAGCTTTAATTTAATGATTACTAATCATGCTCCTAACTTTGTGGCTCGTGAACGTGTTAAAATGAAAAAAACGAAACTCATCTAAGTGTATATGTATATTTATATAGATGTGCTATATATATAATTATGTTATAAATATTATTACAATAACATCTCACGAATAATGAGTTGGTATTTGTTGGGGTGTGCGTACCTTTAATTAATTAAAAGCACCTTTCTTAGGTGGTTTTGTTTGTTAAAAAAGTTAAACGTGCAAAATTATATTTTTAAAAATTTTTGAAAAGTGGCTTCCATACTTATTATTTTAACTGGAATTAAATTTTTAATTTAAAAAAATAATTTTTAATCCAACCCCAATCGAAATCTAAAAATTCCGAACGTTTTCAAAGTTCAAAATTTTAATGGATTCGTTGGATGAAAGGGAAGTCCGTTCAAGCTTTTCTGATCACGAAAAAGCAGAGGGTTCCCGTTCGTGGATTGGAAATGAACCCGGAGGAAGTGCCAATCAAAGTGTTAAAAAAGTTGATAATTATGATCACCATCACATGGAACTCAGAACTGGGACATTCTGGCTGACACGAATTGTACTTCTAAGATATGTTGCATTCATCTATCGTTAGTTTTGAATAATTTCTATAATTATAACTTCAATAACAAGCTGCTTATTACATTATTTATTTTTTTAAAACAAAATGCAACGTTTGTTTTTTATTTTCATTAGTTATAGCATTTCTGGTGGCCTACAATCAAAATGAAGCTCTCATCGGAAAAAATGGATTACTGCCTGCTCATGTTCATTTGAATCGCATCAGCAAAGCATCCAATGGAGGTTATTGGTCAAAACTTCATATGGCTCCAACAGTTTTATGGTTCTTCAATTACAACAACAATATAGATGAGATCTTGAATAGTATATCTTTTACTGGACTTTTGTTGTCTAGCTTTGTAATAATAAAAGGCTCTTCAAATTTTGTAATTATGTTGTCACTGTGGTTTCTCTACCATTCAGTTGTCAACGTTGGACAAAGGTGGTATTCATTTGGTCTGTATCAAACCGGTTCTAGCAAAAACATTTTCTGACATTTTATTTAACTCAGCTCTGTTTAATTTATTTTTTATTATTAATTTATTAATTATTTACAAATGCATATGCTAAAAAAATGCATATGCAAGAACAATTTATTTGTTATTAAATTTATATGAATTGTTACATATTAAAAGAATTCGTTTTTGTTATTAGGCTGGGAATCCCAACTTCTTGAAACAGGGTTTTTAGCTGTCTTTCTCTGTCCTTTTTTTAGTTTGAAAAAATTTCCAAAGACTGTTCCCTGCTCATTTTTAATAATTATGTTATACAGATGGCTCATTTTCAGGATCATGCTTGGTGCTGTTAGTTACTTTCAGCATGTTCTTTCATCATTTTATTATATTTAAACATTTAACATGCTTTTTAATCTTACTTATAACAAAACACTTCTTTTTTATTAATTACTCTAGTTTTTGTTTGCAATTTTTAGTTCAATTTTAACATTTTTCAAGGGTCTCATTAAATTAAGAGGAGATAGGTGCTGGTGGGACTTGACATGCATGAATTATCATTATGAAGTAATTACTTTAGTGATTTACCAGTTGATATTATGTTATTTTTATCTTCCCTAACAATGGTCTTATTAAAAATTTTTTTCAAATATTTTTTTAGACTCAGCCAGTACCAAATCCTATAAGCTACTACATGCACCAAGAGCCTGTTTTCTTTCATAAGTTTGAGACCATGGTCAATCATTTTGTGGAGTTGATTGCTCCGATTTGTTTGTTGATGCCTAGAAAGTTTTGTATTTTTGGAGGACTTGTTCAAATTGTTTTTCAGGTTAAACAATTAGTCTCAAATTATGTTTTAAATTTAATATTTATAAAATTTATCAAAATATGGTCAACTATTTTAAACATGAGTCACAGCTTTTCATTTAATTCATCATTAAAATTTGTGCTCATTATCATTGATTTTAAAAATATATAATTTTTTTATAAATAACATGGTTTTATTTTTAGATTGTGTTAATTATCAGTGGAAACTTAAGTTTTCTCAACTGGCTAACAATTGCGCCGTGTCTTGCATGTTTTGATGATCTTTCACTTTCATATTTCTTTTCAAAAACTGAAGTGATTAATGTCAAATTGATTCAAAGACAAAACGAGCTTGAGAAACAAACACCTTTGATATGTAATTAATTTTTATTTTATCTTTTGACTGTTTAGATTCTTTTTTTCATTGTTATATTTGCAAACATAAATAACATTTGCAATTTGAATTTTTTCCCACTTTTGCTTAATCATGTTACATTTTGATTCTCTACAAAAATTTGTTGAAACCAAACTTTCCCAGTGGCGAACTTTGCAAGAAAATGTACAAACTGGTTGTTTGTATGTGTGATAGCCTATCTAAGCATTCCAATAGTTCAAAACCTGTGGTCACCTAACCAGATTATGAACACTTCGTTTGAACCCTTGAGAATTGTAAATACATATGGCGCCTTTGGCTCGTAAGTTTATTTTTGCGCTTTTTTTTCTCATCAATTTACAATCAAACTAAAATTGATAGAATCAACAAAAAACGAACAGAAGTTATTTTTCAAGGAACATATTCTGCTGACCCCATGAACTCTGATGCCAATTGGCTAGAATATGAATTCAAGTGTAAACCAGGTATAAATAAATATAGCTCTTTCACTTTTAAAAACTAACGGCCAATTGACGTTTAGGCAATGAAAAACGATGGCCTTGTGTCATATCACCATATCACTACCGACTCGATTGGCTTATGTGGTTTGCAGCTTTTCAAGTTAGTATCATAAATACCATAATTTACAATAGAATGTATAATTCAAATATATAAGCTATGTTATTGCGATTAATTGCTAGCTTAGCATTTTATCTTTACCAATACAGAATTATCAGCACAATCCTTGGCTCTTGCACCTTGGCCTGAAATTTTTATCGAATGACAACAAAACAACAAGCCTTGTTTCACACAATCCATTTTCTGGCAAACAACCGCCAAAGTAACTGTAGTTCAAAATTATAAATTCAAACTTTCAAAATTTTAAACTTGCAGAATTACATCAACTGTAAAACAATTCATTGCCGTGAGCCCCTATTACTTACATCTGTTCAGACCAAAATTTATCATCATAATTTACTTGGAAGCATATCAAAGCAAAGCAACCTTAGCAAAGAATTATCCAGTTATCATCCGAGATCAGCTTAAGCGTTCATTCAATAATTGCGTATCACTATTTGATTATGTGATGTTAACAAAATGCTGTGAAATGCGTGTTGAATTGACTGATATTGTTGGCGAATACTGCGTGGGAAATTACTATAAAAAAATTAATATTTATAATTTAATCAAGTGCTATAAAAGTTACAAAATTTAATCAAAATTAATTAATTTTCGAGATGGATTCGGGCTGAACATTACCAGTATTCGTTCACAAAGATAGGATCTAACTCTGCAAAAGAAGGCAAATGGTGGAAAAGAAGACACATAGGATCCTACTTGCCTCCCATCTCTCTTGAGACTGCCAAACATCTTGTCGACCGTTTCTATTTGATTGACTGATTCAACAACTGAATTCTTTATTGTTATATTTTTCCACTTAAAACGTTTTTAATGGTTCGATCTCAAACTTTTGTTGACGTTAAATACCTGTTTGCCTTTTGCTTATTTTTATTTGATGTTAGATCTAATATAAATGAATGACAAACATTTTTATTACATTAGAAACGTTTAATGATTAACGATTAAACTATTAGAAAATGTTCTTCTATTTAACAAAATTATCCCAACGTTGAAGTCTATTAATAGAATTGCGTATGACAAATGATAAGATACTTACAACAAACGAGTTTACACTTTGAAAAAAAAGATTTTCATGTTACAATTGAATGATTTTGTAGAAACTTAGAACGTGATAGTTTGGGTACAGTCAGAAATCACTGCATCAATGTATTTTCCAGGAGTCGTCCGTGTCAAATGATCTAGCAAAATAAAAATTGTGAAAACATTAAGTTTTTTTGATGCATCAAATATTTATTGTCGATTGTCTAAACTATTAATTTAATTGAACCTTCATTTAGCTTTGGGTTATGAACGATAGTTTTTGATACAAAGCATCTCATAAATTCAGCAATGTTCATTATGTCAATTCCATTAGCCAAAAACATCCGGGAATCAGCATAGCTTCTGGGCATGTCTGAGAGGGAATGTTAACAAATTTTAAAACTTTAAAATTGAACCGCTTATTTAATGCTTTAAAAATGATAAAATGCCTATAGCAATAAATTAGTTAAATAGGCAATTATTTAAATAAGAATATTTTGTTGACTCAATCTTGGTATCCTGCTCTCACTGCTATCTACATCGCTATGAATGGCGTACATTTTATTATAACTTGACGTTGCAATCCTCATGATACTCTCACATGGAACAAAACTTAAAAGACCGATATTGCTGGACAAGTTGTCTACGATGTGAAGATGACTATGGACTGAGTATAAAGTTGAAAAAACTAAGGTTTCAAAACAGGAATCTAAAACTTTAAAAATTTAACTAAGTTTAAATCAAAGATTAGTCGTCGGTTAATAGATAGTAGACATTGAAAACTAAAACATAAGAATATTTTAGATGAGAAAAAAAAACTGAAGAAATAAAAATGTTTTATTAAATGGAAAAAAATGGACAACCAAGTTTTCAATTTAAAAAAAAATACTAATAAAAATTGAGTGCTTAGGTTTGAAGAACAATCAAGAAAAGCTTTAAGATATTTTTTATAAACCCATCATACTGTGTCATTAACGTCCTACCTCGGGAAACCGGGTCTCTGGACGCAAAACGAAGATTGATTGATACTGTGTCTTTAGGTATTTTCAAACATTTGTCCTTAAATCTTCAATCTCACTTAGTTTTTAACTATTTAGGCTTGATAAATTTTTGTTCGTTTTTTCAAGATACTTTGTGAGATAAAACTCCTAAAAACTCTAAAGAAAAAAATTCAAATACCTGTAACGAACAGGAAATGCCTGCATGATATGTATCTTTCTCTCTGCAAAGCTACAAAACAGGCCTGATAATCAGCTGTGGTTCTTGGGTCAGCCATATAATACTGATCAGTAAGTTGTTCCACAATGTTCATTGTCTGAAACTTCTGCAAGATTTGTATCATGTCATTGAACCGAAAGCACTCATCACTGTTGTTACCTTGAGCTTCATTTCTTAAATTGAAAATGAGATCAATGTTTGGTTAGTTTGTTAACTCATAGATATAAAAATCTTCATTGTTTATTCGGCGTATACCAACTTTAATTTTTCTAAAATGGAAAACGTTCTTGAGGTGATTAACAACTTCCATGGTGTTCCTTTTTCAAAAGTCTGTTTTTTCATAAATTGGCATACAGACTCCAAGACCTCTGTAACAATTATACAAACACAAAGTTAACCCTGACAACAAAAACTAACCAGGTTATTTACAGGAATTAATAAGCATGCCAACTTGTAAATGTATGGTAAAGATTATACAAACAACAATAATTTTGAAAAAGTTATAAAGTGATGAGTGTCATGTCTTCAATTAATGTGGAAGTGGATGAAAAAATGGTTTCCGACAACTAACCAGATTTACAAGTCACAAGCGCATTTTCATCCAATAGAACTGTTCCAGCTCTTGGAAATATAACATTGTACCTCTTTTCAATGACATCCTCCAATATATCATATGATATGAACACAACTCGCAAATCGCGTTTAAGTCGAAGAAGAGCTGGAATTTCATTGACTCTACATCCATCATTTTTGTGAACAAAAACAAGACATTCAAAATTTGGTAGATGGCGCAACAGCATGAGGTTGTGGATGTCAAATTTTTTGAGACCACTAATATCTAAAAATTTCTAAAAAAAATAACGTAAGAGCGTTATAAAATTAATGTTGTTCATGGAAAATTTTGAAATTTGCTTGTATGGATGCTCTGTAGAAGTTTTAAAATTCACCATGGAATGCTATGGTAAATCACTAAATTTTGCTGTCATTACGCCATTATTTTCAGATTAAAAGTGGCATTTTTAGGAGAAAGATTAGGAAGATATATTGTGTTATAATTTGTAAAGCTCAGCAAGTGCATTTATGGTATTTCTACATAGTTAACTTCTCTAAAGTAACCCAAGACATAAAAAATTTTAAAACAAACATGTATCAATGTAAAGAAGTATGAGTAAATAGGTCAAAATATTCTTTGCACTGAATGATATATTACAATTTTTTTGTTAAAGTTTTTTTATATAATCGTCATTAGTAATTTATGTACACTGGCACATTTGATTTCTAAAAAATAAGACATTTGCTCAGTTGTATGCTCCTATGGCAATTCAGCATTGACAATAACATTTTAGAATACAGGAAAGTTTTCATACATCAGCAATGCTCAAATATAAATTTGAAATTAAAAAGTAAAATTAACCTCTACTTGCTTGCTGACTTCACTTTCATTTTTAAACACATAAAATCTAGTGTTTTTTCCTTGTCTATCAAATTCAACACTTATTGCATTGGCATCCTTTTTCGTTGTACCAGTGGAAGCCATACCTTCTTTAGTATCGGCTGAATTAATATCTGATGATGTTGTCTTACCAGAAGAAACATTTGCTGCATTGTAGGTACTATCAGTTTCAAATGCAGCTGCCTGTGGGGTGATGTTGCTGGTTTGAAACTCTGACCCCTCGGCAGATGTTTGACATGTATTGGGCAAGTTATAAATTGTCTGCTGGTGATAGGCCTGTATTGTTGATAGGTCAGGCATATAATAACCCATGGGATTCATGTACGGCCATGCAATGTTTGCATACTGCATCGCTGCATAATGATTATACTGAAAACTTGAATAAGTCATAGGAGAACCAGATATAGAAGTTGTTACTGTTGTTGTTGCAACTGATTTTTTGCTAGAAGTAGAAGTGTTAGTGGTTGAGTTAATAGAAGCTGCCATGGAAAGTGATGTAGATGACTTCAATGTAACAGAAGCTGGTGATGGCAGGTCTGATGAAGATTGAGTTGCAATTTTAGTAATTGGAGGGCAAGCACCAGGATTACTCACAGTAGTGTAAATATTAGAAGTGTATACCTCAGTCATTGGCTGCATCTGGTAATACATGCTTGGATCAGCTATCATAGGATTGTACAAAGAGTTTTGCATTGCAAATGCGTTGTTAAAAAATTTACGATCAAAATTTATTAATTTAATTTTGTTTGTTATTTTCCATTCCGCTTCATCGTATAGGACAGATAAAATTTTAGATACCTGGTTGAAATGAGCAGGAGTTACAGAGTAATCTATTTCAGTGAACGTAGAATTTGAAATATTTTCTTTGTTGTTGATAAAATTTTCCTTTTTAGCTAATTTGAACACTTTTTGTTGAAATTCAGTCATTATTTCCTTTATATTAGCCCTAGATGTTGATTTTAAATTGGTCTGAAGTTTGAATAAACTTGACAAGCCTGGAGGATGTTTAAAGTTAAATTTGGACTTTGTGACCCCATGTTTTGGTTGAATCTTCTTTTTCATATCAAAAGGAGTTGATTTTCTATCAGTTTCTTCCTTTTTCTTGTTAGCCTCAACCACTTGCTTAAAAGCCTGTATTAATGGGTTGCTAGTTGTTTTTGACTGCTGCTTTTTAATGGAAAATTCCTCATCATAAAATTTATTTTCTTCATTAAAAGGAACATCAATGTTTGTAAGCATAAGTGCCCATAAAAATGCATTTTTAGAATTAACGAATTCTATGCAAAACTGTTTGACATCAGGAATAAAATTGTGAAGAAATGTTTCAGAGCCTGAAAAATAATTGTTCAACAACATTTGCAGCAATGGATTTTCATGACCTGTTTTTGGTGTAGTCAATATATCAAATTCAGGATCAAAATTCATTTCTAATCCACTGCTATTCTGATATGGGTCTAATGTATATGATATTGGACTATCTAAATAGAGTCCAAAATTTGGAACAAAATTTTTTGGAATTTTAGATTCAGCCTCAATTTCATTAAGCTTATTTTTGTTACGAGATGATTTTGAGGATTTTATTTTCTCACTACTGTCATTTTTGTGCTTGTTTCGTTTACGTTTTTTATGTTTTTTGTCCTCTTTTCGTTTTTTATGCTTCTTTTGAGCAACATCTTCATAATCATCATAGTCATCTAGATCTAACTTTTTCTTTCTTAGTGATCTATTAATATTCTTATTCATTATGCTAATATCTTTAACAAAAATATCTCTCCTCCCAAAGTTCAAGCCTTCTTTAACTTCATCCACATTTTCTAGATTTCTTTCGCCAGCAGAGACCTCATGAACACTTTTCTCCTCAGTGTTAGCCATGATAATATCAGCATCAATGTCCTCATATATACTGATGCCTGTTGATTTATCCTTCATAGTTTCCTGAGAAGTTTGCACTTCTCCACTATTCAACTCAATTATCTCTTTGGCAAAATAATCAAATTCATTTTCTAATCGCTCTTGAATAGATGCCTGCTCTTCTGCATAAGTTTGTTCAGTTTTACCATTTCTTTCATATATAGCTATGCCTTTGTCAGATTTTAATCTATCAGGACTCAAATAATGCTCAAGATCAATGTCAAACAGCTGAGCTTGAATAATCTCATCTAATTCCTGTTCTATGTTGGGAACATTGGAAGTACACCCTTTTGAAAGATCATCTATATCTGTAACTTTATAATTGTCCTTGGAGTTGGGAGACAAATTTTCATTATTTTCAATTTTGTTCATTTTTTTTGGTTGTTTATAAACTTTTGAATTGCCACACCACTTTTCAATGCATTTGCTTAATTCTAATCTTAATTTTTCAAACCTTTTTTCAACAATGACATCGCAACTATCCCTGGTCAGAAATAAATATAAATCTTCAGAATTTAGTAACTGACAAAAATCAATCAAACATTCACATATGTCATTTTTAAATGATGTCTGACATTTTTCAACAGAACGATCAGTTGAATAAACTCTTTTAGGAGGTTTGTCTTGAAAGTTTTTACCAAAGGATGTTCTACTAATCATTTGCAGAGGTTTGTTTTTCAGCCATTCTCGATTAACTTCTGACAAAATGCTTCTAACAAGATGACTGTCTATGAATTGACTTTCTAAAATTGTTTCTATCGAAAGAGTTTTCAGATGACCATTCTTTTTTAAATGAAACCTAGGTAACAAGCCCAACATGATACTGTTCAAATCACTTTGCAAATCATACCTTTCTGATGCACATACATCATCAATTTCTGCTAAAGTGAAGTTCCAATCTAATGACTTGGCCATGTTGTGCGAGATTCTAGATAAAGTTGCACGATGTTTTTTAGGATATTTCATAATCTAAGCTGAATAATAAAAAATATTGAATAGTATCACTAAATAACATCATAAAAACTAAAAAAAATTAGTGCTAAAGGTTAATAAACTTTATGAAAAATTTAACTGAAAAATTTAAGATTATCAGCATATATATCAATAACACAAGATAAACTATAAAACTTTAATTTGAGACAAATAACTAATTTTACTAATTATAATATAATATTCTAATGTCTAATATCTAGATATTAAAGATTTGGAGACACTGATAATTTAATTAATAGTTTATTTATTATTTTATTTTATATGGTAAATTATGTAATCCTGCTGCTAATGATTTTATTTAATATCACAAACTGTGTTGAGCAAATAATAATTTAGTCAACTGTCAAATCAATTAAGTCAAGTGTCCAGTCTTAGTCAAACAAAACTTGGTTTTCACTTTTGTTTTCATTTTATTTAAAAAATATATAAAGCTGAAATTTATAAAATAATCAGCAGTCTTTAATTTATAAATTTATCCAATCTGATTACATATTTATGAGAATATTATAAACATTTTTACAGAAACAAATCAACTTTTTAATTATTTGAGGTTATTAATTAACTATTAGTAAGAGAAGCTTGTGGTAGCTTGCAATTCAATTACTATTACTTACAGATTAACTCAAAACACATTTACCGATAAAAAAGAAGCCAGCAAAAATGCAACATCAACGATAAGTTTATAAATTTAATGCTAATTTGTTTAGTTATTTAACAATCGCAAACGTACGAAGAAGACACCGATGATAAATCGATAGCAACGTCGGTCCAATTTAAGTCGGACTTTCATTAATTGACTTGTGACCAAAGATCATGAATGTTGGACTTGAACAAATTTGTTTATACATAGATAAATGCAAATGATTAAGCTGTTATATCTTAAAAAAAAAGCTCCTAAAAAAAACTAATGCCATATTTGAATTCAGGACATCAAAGCCATATAGAATCAGTTAAAAATATTTTGGTTTAAAAACAGCTGTTCGCAAGTGTTATTTTTTAACCTCTTCTGCCAAAAATGTTTATGTTCTTTTGCTTTTTGGGCATTTTTCCAACATTTTTGACTCTCATAACCATATAAATTGAATAAAATTAGGTTTGATTTTTCCACCGTTAATCAATTAACAAACTGTCAAGGTGTTAAATCCTGGTTTTCGTAGTTATACCATTTTTCTTTTGTGACATAACGACATATTTCTACGACGTATCTTACTATTATTCCTGTATTTAATTGCATCCTTGTTCATTTTTCAGCCGCTCGGTGATCAATAAATCCATATAATTCAACCATTTCAACTTATTAAGTAGCAGTTAAGAAATTTAATTTTTTTTTACTTTACGGTTTTTATTTTATGTTTAAAAAAACTAATATAATTAACACTGAGTTTTATTGAGCAATTACGAACTCTTACAAATATTTGAAAATTAACTTCATGTGTGGCAAATAGAGTTATACGCCACTTCATACGCACGAAAACAGGATGCAATACAACTATCCCGTTTTCAAAGAGTTTCAAACAAAAATTCAATGTTCGAGACGCTAACAAAAACATGATTAAAATCAAATAATAAAATTCACATGCATGCACGAGTAAACTAGATTTCTTTTTATACAAAAAACGCACGAAATATACAGCATACACATCTACAATATTTAAAATAATTTACACGCCACACAAAAATTTGAAATTATTTTGAATCACATAACATATGGTAAAACAAAATCGCCATGCATACTGGTGCGTTAGGATATTCGAAAATTTAAATAAATAATCAGTTCAATCAAGTTTGAATCATGTGCGGGCAATTCAGACCAGAAAAATTCTTGTACCTATGCAAATTAACGCAGCATCCTATTGTATTAAGATAAACTCAGTGATGCATCCGGATCAACTTTATTTTATAAAAAAATTTCTAGGGTACAATACAGAATTAACAGCAATTACAAGATTAATTAAACAACACGTATAGAGATATTTTATCTTTGTTCATTTACTAATATTAACAAGAAACATTTCCAAAAAATCGTAATAAATCTGCGACGCATGGCTTTCTTAAACAATTCTTAGTAGTAAAAATAATGAATTAATTTTTCGGTAAATATTTTAAAGTGGCTGAATATAGTACATGATCCTAAACTAAAAGTTAGATGCATGGATAATATTTTGAAAGTAATTGGTCAAAATTAGTAATTATCGACAATGAAACGAATCTCTCATCTTACAAGTTTATGCCATCATTCTATGAGCGGTTAATTTCATCACGAAGTTCGCATGGTGTTCTATTGCAAAAAAGAAATATTTGTTCATTGTAATTTTTAGAATCTAATTTAAAAACACAACATAAAATATTTTACATTAGCAAAATTATTTACCAAATTAATTAATACCAATAATCAATACAAGATATAGAAAATATTTAGGAATATAAAATAAATAACGAAACAAAAAAACTGCTGAAAGAATGGATAAGAATAATTACATTTACAAATAACTTAATTATTTATACGTTAAAAGTATATCTTTAAAATATTATCCATATACAAGATATCATATCAACTTTTAAAAAATATAGAAAAATATAAATGAACGACTGAATGAGAGAGTAACGACAAACTAAACATCGTAACAATATGGCCTGAAAGAATGGATGTTGTTTAAATTTTTCAAAAAAATGTTAAAACGAGTAGTAAAATGTCGAAGCTTATCATTGAGATGTGACCATCTCAAGTATTTTGAGGCACTCGAAAGCTTTGTGCTCTCTTGCATAGAACGAGGGAGTGTGATTTTCATGGTCAACTAAATCTGGGTTGGCACCGTACTGTTAAAAAAATTAATAATATCAGCATTAAAAATCAAAATCATTTATTACGGCAGTATATTCAACACCATTACATTGGGTAAAATAGTGCTGATGCTTTCATAATAATGTATCTCTGTAACATTAAGATATCATGGTATACCACTTTAATTCAATAATGTTATTGTAAGTTTAGAATATATTCCTTAAAATGACGTGATCAACTGACTCCTGGTCAATATATAATACGATCTGCTTATGAACATGACTGTGATTTGTTATTGAGGATGTATGAAAGCATGAAGAGTAAGGACAGACCCAGAGAAGCAACTGCACGAGAATGATTTTGCCAAAAGCTGCCGCAATATGGAGGGCGGTTCTGGTGTCGGTGGTGCTGTTGTATGGAGTGTTGACGTCGTTGGGAGAGCAGTAGGCCAACACCAAAATTAAGTTGTGGACGTTGTTGCATGCCACTGCATCCATCAGTTGCTGCGATCGAAGAATACAATTAATTGTACCGTGGTAATGTCACCGTACATTAAATTGAAGAAAACACATGGAAAAATACGTAACTAAAAATAACTAACAAATAATTTAAAAAAGAGATATGATGAATTAATGTGAGATAGAGAGAGAAAAAGGAAAAAACCTGCTGTATAGGAACACCTTCGAATGGAAGTGGAGGTAGATAATTCTTCAATTCGTACTTCATTCGTATCCACTTATCCTTCTCCTCTCTTAATATTTCAATTTCCATTCAAAAGTTATAATAATAATACACTACTTTCTTTAAGTAAGAGGAGTATTATAAACCATGTAAAGGAATTAGATCGATTTTAAGATGACTGAGTAATAAGTGGTAATATGCTGATAATTTAAATTATGATAATAAATAGGCATTATTTACAAATACACAGGACAAACTGAAACAAGTATGACGACCTCGAAGATGTAGGATTAGGTTTCTTACAACCAATAGCGTTGGCCTCATAAACAGAATTGAGGAGGTCATTACCGATAGATGTCATCACCTCAACGAGATTTGGTCTGTAACAGTGACAAAAACTTTACCGAAATACGTAAAAATAGAAATTCAACCATCTTAAGTTAATTATGAGTATTTTTTAATGTGAAAAAAAATAAACTAACGGCCATTCATCTAGTTCGAGAGACCGAACCCTGGACAGATGTGTGCCGAGATTGCGATGAATTCCAGAGCATTCTATACATATGAGAGCTCCCAAGTTCAAACTTGCCCATTCAGGATCTGTTTCAATTGCAAGAGAGTCAATGGGTATTAAAAATTATTCACGGACTCAATTTTATTAACGATACAATAAAACTGAAAATTCAAATATTTTAAATATTTTTACAACGTTTTCGATCTTACGAGGATTGAAAAATAAAATGTGATACAAAATTTAAAAAAAAATTATTTGTTAGTTAAGCCAAACTAACTTGGAGCAGCACAATCTGCGCATTCGTTGTTCCCTGACACGTTTCGAACTGCATGTATGACTGCGATGTTGGCACTGCTTGTTATCTACAGCACAACAAAAATAAATTTTGTAACCAAATTTAAAAAAAAAAAAATATTAACAAAGCTATAAAAACAGTGCTCATGTTATAAAAATAACAGATGCAATTATATTGAAATTTCAAAAGTTTTAATAAAATGAAAAAATATTGCCAAACAATCAAATGATCAATAAATCTAATTCTCAGTAAAAAAAACAGTAAACCATTTAATTAATTAATTAATTAATTGATCAGTTAAAATATTTACGTAATGAAATGCAACGAAGAAGTAAATACATTTGAACAAAGCTCTTTTAAAATAAGATTTTGCACTCTAAAATGTAAAAAATTAAAATGAATGAATGAAAATCTTCAAAAGAACCAAGTTGAGCTATGAAAAAAAAGAATTATGAAATAAATAATGAACAATAAAAAATTAAAAAATTTGATACTTGAGCCTTGGAGCTTCGATTCTGTTGCAGACTGCTAAGTATTTGCTGCTCAACTGCAATAATCCATTCCTCCCTTTCCTGGGATTAATTATTTATCGTAATAATTTCAACAGCAGTGCCAATCAAACAAAAAAAAACCTGAAGTATTTATACAGCGCAGAATTGAATGAGAGCCAATGCAAGTGTTAGATTGTTTAGAAAATTGTTGTTAATGAGAAGCAAGCAGGGCATCATACGTATGGCTTTTTTACAGACCGTACTCGAAGCAGGTCATCAGAAAAGCAGAAAAGGTTGCAATTTAGCAGAGAGAGAGAGAAAAATTGAAGTTAAATAAAATTGTTTACAAATAAATAAATAAACCATTGAGTGAGCAATTTGCAACAATAATACTCCTTATATAGCAAACACTTTCTTAAAATTCAACAGCAAACTCCAACCTCCAGACTGCAAGCCTCAAAGAGCCACTGCTTGTTGTCCAGAGACACAATGGCGAACTCGTAACCATATTCAGAAGCTGGCCAAGAAAGTTGAAATTAACGTTTTTACTAACATTTTAATTCTCATCTTATCTTCAAGTAAAAACATTTTTATTATCACCGTCATCGTCGTCCTTGTCATCATTATCGTCGTCAATTTCCATATAAAATTCTTGGCGCGCAAATGATCTAAAGAAAGAAAACAAGAACAACGACACAACAACCAATCACATTAAAAAACGGTCAAAAATAAAAAAATAGATATGATCCTGCCACGAAATAAATACAGAAAAAATAACATCTTAACAATACCAACAACCATAATACCATCAACAGCCATTACAATAACATCAGAGTAGCATCAACAGCCATTGCAATAACATCAGAGCAGCATCAACAGCCATTGCAATAACATCACAGCAGCATCAACAGCAATTGCAATAACATCATAAAAACAGCAACAACCACAATACAATCGTAACAACATCATCAAAAACATCTTCCTCAACAGTGACGATGACATCAACAACACAAACGATTCAATATCATTAACAATATTACTTAATTATCATCATAATTAATACTCAATTACATAATTAATATATACTAATTAATACTTAATAATGAATACAATTACATTCGGATCCATCGAAATTTCTGGAATTACTCTTAATTCTCCGGTGCTTCTTCTTGTTGATGGGAGTTTCGAGCTTCGGAGGAATGGTTGTGGTCGACGATGACACACTTGTGCCCGTCGATACGGAGTTCAAAACGCCTTCAAGAATATAATTATCTTTATTATTCATTATTTGAGTTCGTGGCATCATTATTTAGATTTCTGTTGAAAATAAATTAAATTAGACAAAGTTTAAATAAAAAGAAACAACATTGAAAGAAATAAAAGTAAGAATGAGGAATCACCTGAGTTTGAGATAACAATGGAATCGGACATGTTGCTAATTGAGCTATCTGCAGCACGTAATAATGATCATTTGATGAAGATATTAGTAAATTAAAAAAATTGAACAATAAATGAATTATGGATATAGCAGCAAAAATCCGTTAATAAGGAAAATAACAAATTAATAATTTGATCAAAATAATAATTATTATAAATGATATTAGATTCACTGATCCAATCAACCAGCACCCTATATTCATCCACACATAATCCATCATCATTAAACAGTTATGAATTGTTGTTATTGTTCTTATCCTTGCTACAAAATTGTTCAGATAACATTTCGCAGTTAAGTACTTTAGATGCTAAAAATTCCTTTCCTTTGAAAAGAAAATAGAAAAAAAAAGTGAAAACAATGATAAAAATGTATGCAAGAACAGTAAAAAAAACAAAAAACCCAAAAAGACGAAAGCCTTATCAGAGGTATAAAGAACAAAGACACACAGTGCATGTGAATAGGTGCGAATCCAACATGCGACAGTCGGGAATCTCCTTAGACTTGAACCCGGTCAGCCTAAGCAACGGCAGGATCTGACGCTTAAACCGTTAAAGACCATCTCGTCGCTCAGTTATCAAATTACTGAAATTCAATTATACAAACAAATATGAAATAATATAACTAGATGTACAATGATACAAACTAATGTACAATGATACAAACAAATACACAACAATACTGAACAATACAATATGGATGAAAGTTTACATTGTTGTGAGAATGCAGTTCAAACATCTCCATCATTACACACATACACGCCATTTGAAAAGGAAGTAGTACTTAATGAAAAACATTCATTCATATCTCCATCACGTACTCATACGGGCATTCATATTCAACACACTCACATTAACAATCATCTGTTTGGAATGCTTTTTATTTTATTTTTATTCATGTCTTCTTGTTTTATAAGTTTATTTATGTGAATGTTTTCAAACCAAACAGAACAACACCCCAGAAGCTCAAATACAAAACATATCGGACATCCATAACATTTGTCTGAAAAAAATACGCACATATTAAAAGAAAACTGGAAAATATAATTTATAATCAATATTATTCATCCAAAACATTAGTGGCTTTTAATAGGGTAAAATGAGAAATCACGACGAATAATAGAAATTGCACTTTGAAGTATTGTAACAATTAAAAATAAGCCAGACATACGGTGATGTTTAGATGTACATGAGAATGCGAGAAGAGAAGGCTTCACATGGTATGCATTAAAAGATGACTATTGCGTGAGTGGGTGGGTGCGAGTGCAAAAATTAGATAACATAATTCAATTACTTTTTCTTAGTTCTAGAGGATGGAGGTCTGTGGAAATTGTGGAATAAATTTAAAATAAGTCATAAATAAGGAAGGTTGTACGGGAGGATTAGATTGTATGGTAAGTGTACAGATCATTGTGTGGAAAATAAAAACGAGATTGAATGAGAAATGTTTTAACGTGAAAAGGTTGAGCTGGTTTGGAAAAGAGAAAAGGCAAAATCTGAGAAAAGATTTCAAGATATCGAAATCTATAGTTGATGTAGATAAGTGATTGTTGCACGTAGTAATATACTTCGTTGCACCGAGTATAACATAAAAAATAGCTGGAATTAAAACTTGTAAATAACTTAAAAAGATTGTTACACCTAAAGAACAAAAAAAACAAATGACGGTCGTAACAAATTTATGGAATAAGACTCACAAGTTCAGCAGTACAAAACTAATCAGCAGTTTTCAACCCAACGTTGCAAGCATCTCAACTAACTATGCAATTAAAACAACATTTTATGCATGAATAATGCGGATGTTCTACGAGGAGAGGACAATTAATGATGAATTGTAATGGCAGGATGATTGATGGCTCAGGTAGCTAGGTAGTTAATATCATTAACATCACCAACATCATCATTTCAATATTAATCATTAGCAACAATGTCATCATTCTTAAACAATTAGTTACAACCAGCTGACATAATTGACAAACTAACATAATAACCAAATAATTCACCCAATCAATTTTTCGAACAACAAACAAATCAAAATCAAACAAACAAACAATAAAAGCACAAGTCAGCATATCAGACAAGTCAGCAACACAAATCAACATATCAGACAAACAATCAATAACGCCAAATATCAGCCGGGCAAAAGAAGACTAAAGAGAGTCAGTCAATCACAAGCGAGTAATCAAATAACAATTTAGTCCACAACAGCTACGGTAACTGCAGTCTAACCTCTACAAGCGGGAGACATGAAATTATTTGCTTCTGAATGTCTTGAAATATGGCAGCCGGCAATATTGTTGTTGTTTGTCCTGGTAAGTCCTGAGCCGCGAGGTCCCTGTCCCGGTATCTTCACCGTCGTTTCACCCAGTTTGATCTCCTTCCCATGACTATTCTCCATATAATCCTTATTCATTGATAACATTTATCATTCAGTAACAGGAGCTTAACTTGACGAAATGGAGATGAAATTAACCAACAAATGAATACATGAAAGGGAATAAAACCAAAATTACTAAAGACAGTAAAATAATTTGATTCAACATAAGAAGTGTCATTAGATATTACACTTAGATTCACACATAAATGTTGTGTATGATGTGCGTGTGTAAGTACATGAAAGATTGAATGAAGGAACGTGAAATGAATGATTGAAGAAGCGAACTGACGTGGAGTGAGGAGTGGTAGGTCATCCTTCCATCATCCAGAAGAGTTACATACTTCTTCTGCCAGTCCTTGCTTAGTGGCTTGCTGCTCTTCTTATATAACCAACCCTGTCGTATATCAATCAGTTAATTTATCAACATTATGATGACTGTTCATAAAAATACAAATAAAAAATTAAAAATTTAAGCAGTCATGTACCAATTAAATGTACCAAATAATAACGAAACACTGATCATTTTAAACATACATACATACATAAAAATATATATTATACATGATATACATATATGTATGAACATAAAAGAATGTATGCACAGATATATTTGTGTTGCAATTAAGATAACAAACAAGCAATTGAATTAAGTCATAACAAGTCATCACCCAGCGAAGAAACGTTGAATCACAATTAAATATCGGCATGTAAATATAAGGAGAGAGGAGCGAAGCTCATTAATTAAAGAGCGATCTATTAAGAAGACACGTGAAAAGAGTTTAGATTAGATGAGAGTGCGTGAATTTGAAGGATGGACATTGGACAACCTGCTTGATGGGGATAACACGACCACTACCCAACTTAGCATCACCATTTCGCAACTTTTTGTCGTCACAATCTTTTTTACTCTGAATAAATTTTATAGTTATTATATAAAAATTAATATAATTATGAACTTAAAATCTCAACAAAAACTTCGGCAGTCGTTTTTAAATATTAAGACAGATTTCACTAAACTTCAATATAACAATAAATTGGTATACTGTTCGTATAGGTAAGGTTTAGTCGCAATCATTGAGTCAATTTTCAACATCACGAACAACAACAATTAAGTCTCTCTAAGCATTATTCATTCAATATAATTGTGAACCAATCATCGAACAAAACATCAAATGATGAAAACATGACGTCAGCAAAACAAACAGTGAAAATATTTGATCTTCTCCTGTTGTTCTTCCGGCTGGGTGTGGGCGTTGTGTTGGGGGTGGCAACAAAATCCTTGCTTACGTCATCATCTCCTTGTTCCTATGCGTGTATGTATTTCTTTGTTTGTTTGCTTGTGGGCGTGTGTGTGTGTGTGTGTATGTGCGTGTGCGTGTGTTTTTGATACCATCAGATATAATATAAAATTAAACGTTTTATCATTATTTGAAAAATTTAAGCGAGTGAATAGACTGTAATGTTACAACAAATTAGGGATATTCATAATAATCCGACCAATATATGAACGCCCCAATAGACACATTGATAATGTTCTAACGGATTAGGAGGAATACAAAGTTAAAACAAACAAGGATAAAAGCTGTATGGAAGTATTAAATGAAATAACGCAAAAATTGTTACGCCATTAATGTACTAACGATCGACTGAATAGAATAAGATCGATGCCTGCTTGAGAAGATGTTGGAGGATGTGGTCTTGCCGGAGCGCTCCTTCGTCATTGGAAATTCTTTGAGGAAGGAGTCAATGCGTTCCTGTTCAATCAACAAAGTTGTAACTGACCGTCGTTGATGTGATTGTCATTTCAGTCGAATTGCCGGAAAAACGCGTATCTAATAAAATGCCTTAATTATTCTGAATGATTACTTTGGAAATAAAAAATATTTCTGATGAAAATTGTCAATAGATTTTTTCGAAAAAAATGAAGCTCATATTAGATATGTAATATGTGTATGCATATACAGATATAAATAAATATATAGATGCATAAAGAATTGTGAATACGTGGGTGTGTGTTTTGTATGTGTATATATATATATATTTTTAAAGCAGTATTTAAACAACATTAACATATTTCTCAAATAAGCCAACATGCATATATTTCATGCAAATTAGATCCAATTTCTAAAATTCAAAATTTACAAATGTAAGTAAATGTGAAAAATGCAATGAAAAAAAAAACTATCCAGTCCAGGCAATTTCCAGCGAATAACATGAAAACGAAAATATTATGCAAGCGAGCTGTGAGTGACACAGTAAGAAAGCTTTGATGATTGATTGATATGTTTTAGTCCTTATGAATACAAATTAGTTGTATGTGAGTCAAAACAACATGTTTGTACATGTAGCATCAAACTATGTTAGAATGCTCTGCAATAATAAAAAAAACGACATCAGTCGTTTAATAAATATCATTCAATTAACATACACTTTAACAATAAGACAGTTTATGCCATCGACATTACCAAGAACAGTGAGGTAAGAAGACAGTTAGTTGTTCAAGCATCCTTCCTGCTACAACATTTTCAATGAAATACTTAAGAGTCATGCAAAGAGTTACTGGAAAATTACAACACTATTTATTTGACTTGATTTGTCCTTCTGATATAGTACTCATAGTAAAAATAGGCACAAAATCATTAAACATAAACGTGTCAGTAAACATAAATTTTAAATTCTAACATTATAATCATTATAATTGCTTGCTTATTCAAAAACCCAAAACAGCATCAGTGGTTGATGGAATAGAGTATGTTTGAACCCAGTTTAATGTGAACGCATAAGTAGGAAGGCATGTTCTTTTATCTAAAAAACTTGTGTTAAACCATTAATTGAAATGAACCAGAATCATTTCATATCCACTTGAATAACAAAATTTGGTCAATGATTGTTCACAGCACTTGCTTATAACATCGTAGGCATCTTAATAAATCTTCCATCTATTCCTTCAGTCACTAAAGACAATCACTTTATCTGACTGAACCAACTTGCATGAATAACATTAAGAATTTGACAAAATTACATTGTCCTGTAGATATTGCTTATTTGTCCATATCTACAAACAAAACACACAACTGCTGCTACTATTGAATGTGTAAAATTTTACAAAAATAAATAATTTTACGTGATGAACTCAAAAAAGTAGAGTAATAGTAAAATGAACTAATAGTAATAATAACCCAGCGTCAACTTAACATATAAAGAACGATGTGTAATTTTTTACTTTAAACAAATGGTGACAATCCTCCTATTGGGTTTGTACAATACTTCAATCAAAGTAATCTTAATCATATATTCAATAAAGAGCGAAATCTTTCTACAAGTCAATCCCCGAAAATCACTTTAGCCATTTTTAATTACTATGTTGTTGTTCGGGCTGTCCAAACGGAATTGTGAAAGCATCATTAACCATTGCATCAGCATTCTATCACATTATTTTAAATAAATCAGAATATGAAATGATTGCATGGTAGTATCAAGTGAGAACAGTTAGTTGTGCACCAGATACATCAATATGTGAACAAGGTAGATATAAATAAATACACATACATGTCTACAAGAATGAACATAATTTGTATGTATCAATTCACCAGCACGTTTTTGTATTAATATTTTTGAACCAAATGTATCAACAGCTACAGACAAAATATTTGCAATTCTTGTTTCAAATCAGTTCTCCTTAGAAATCGATTTAATTGGAATGAGCGAATGGATTTTAAAATAAAAAATAAAATAAATAAAATGAAAATAAAATATACAAAAACGTCAAAAATGGCGACTAGTTGGTTGTCTGCATGCATAAGCAGTAGCAGGTACGACAACTTGAGGAGATTATACAATGAAGCTCAGTCGTCTCATCCTCCTTGTCACTTTCAATGACAAAACAAACAAATCACAAAAGAAGCTTACATACGTAGAGACTAAGCCAGAGTAGTATAATGAATCGTTGGCACATGAAAGTGAAGACTGTAGGGTACACGTCAACTGCTGAGAAGATGAAATGTGCTTAAATATGATTTAGGTTATTATAAACTTTTTATCTTCCTTCAGAGCAAGCCGGTTGCATCTTTTTTAGTTAAAAATAAAACTACGGTTGAAAGTCGACCAATAAAATGAGAGTATGATAAGTGAAGAAAGATGAAAACAGCAAATTTGATTTATTTCAAAGCTTAAATTGAATCACTTAAATAATTTGAAACAGAATAAAATAAATGCAAACTTAGCTAAAACTTCACAAAATAATAATTTAAAAAAGATAATTTTATTTAACGTTTATAAAAAAAGTTGCAATAATTTTCCCTGTGGGTGGAAATATAAAGTCTAAATAAACTGTTAACTTAGACTCTGTGTGTGTTGGCAAGATGTGGAGAGAAACATCAGCTGAAATATAAGAATATCGTCATATAGCATCATTTTAAAAATGTAATTAACGAGAGTAACAAAATTGAAATATATGAAAGCTAGAAAAAGCCCAGTAGTGAAGATTGTTATGCAAATGTAAACGACGTGAATTAGGATGGTGGATAGAAATGAATGGAGGTGGAACAAATATGATCTGACTGCGTAGACTAGATGAGAATATAGATAAAAATTACATAATTACATGCTGTGGGATGAAGTGAACATATTGTTGGTTACAAGCATTACTGAATTTTATTGAAGATTTTGAAGGTCAACATGTACATTGTTTTACAATTAAACTTTATAAGAAGTAACATGTACATTGCTTTAAAAAAAAGCTTTATAAGAGAATATTTACTTACCAAAGCAAATAAGAGTTTAAAAGTAAAGAAAGACTTATTGAGTTTTTGAGCTACTAAAATATAAAACTAACAACAACATGGGAAATAAATCATTTACTCGTTGTGCCAAAAAGAGTCAAGATAGAGTTAAAGTAAATTCAAAACAACTAAGTGAACAACTAAGATGTCAATCATTGTTGAAGAAGAATTACCATAGTATGATTGTGTTAGTAGTGTGGCTATGATAGCGATCGTACATTTTATGATGTGATGATGATTTTTACAATTTTTTTCATTATTCTTTAAAAAAGTAAGAATCCGAAAGACACAGAAACTGTTAGAACACGCAAGACAATAAAATACAATAATGTGATGATTGATGGGATGATGATGATAATTATGTAATGACGTCAGTGAATGTGATGATAATGATATCGACAACATGATTTAACCTGACAGACTGGAGATAACATGTGGTGATGATATTGATGATGATTGATGCTAGCATGCACGCTAAAGATAAGGATATACAAATATTGTACAAATATTGATAAAGACAACAAAAACAAATTATAAAATTGGATAAAAAGTTAGCAAAATACAGTTTTGAGATACATCATACATCGTCATCATCACCATCATCATTATCATCATCAACAACAACATCTTTGTCATCAACAACATGGACAACAATTTAATTATTAGATAGTCAGTGCACAATTACTCTCAAGAAAAACATGCCAGAAAAGTTAGTTAATATTCAGTGTTGATCATATCACCACAAATTAACATTAGTAGCATAATTATCACATCGTTTAACATTAAAAACAATAATAAAAAACAGCACGTGGCAAGCAAATAGATCATGCTCATCTTAAAAATGATAGTGGAAAATACGAATGATATCTCTAAAAACAGAAAAGCATCAATTTCTTATAGCCTTCAAAAGTTAAACCCTATGTAAGCAAGGAATTCTGCTTGCCATGCCAAATAGGTTGAAAGATTATCATAAAAAAACCATGATATATTTATATTTAGCTAAGAAAAAAGATAAAAGTAATGCAAAAACAACCTTGAACAAGCATCGTTGAAAAAAATTGAACAAAGCAATGAAAATATATGTTGTTGAATCGTCAATCATCACGCAAAGCTTTTAGCGCTATGAATGTTTGCTATCTATTTTTAAAGAAATCAAAGGCATGTTGATTGCTAGATGACAGCTGAAAAGGTAATTAAGGAATAGAAATATGGCAACAATTTTGAAGTTTGCAGACAGCAGTTTAAGACCTGGCGTATCATTGTAATCATGCATTTCTACAAAAAAAGCATTAACTTTCGGGTTGAAGGTAACAGAATGAAGACACGGTATCACAATCATAATGTGTATTTATTGTCATTAATAAAAAAATTATCATAAAAAAATAACTAACATGATCATTAAAAATTCATTAAAAGTTAATTAATTGAATTGTCTTTTATGAGATGACATCACTCAACCAAGCCATTCAGTAAATCATAACAATGCCCACACATTTCCATGCCACTTCCATTTA